TGAAAAAAAATATTCAAGAGTTAATAAGTATAAAAAATACATTAAAGTTAGAGCTATAAAATATAGAAGCACTTGGTCACCTGGCGACTTTGTCTTTCTTTGTTTAATAGCAAGTCGGAGCTTAAAAAGTCCCTCAGCTGCCTTGTAAATAGCAAGTTAATCTACTATCTTTTCTTGCAAGTCTTCATCTGGGTTCAACTTGATAACAACCTCATGGAATCCTGTCCACACTTCTCAAGCCAATGAATTATTCTCATGCTGATCATAAAAGAGTGACGGGTTCAGAATAAGTCCAGCTACATGCAAAGGTCTATGAAGTTACTCACTCCATCTTGCATCAATGATCTGAAAGACCTTTGCATATTTCTGCTCATCAGTGAATGATGCTTGAATAGCCTCCTTGGCCCTATCCATAGCTTCACAGAGGTAGCCCATTGATGGTTTTTGCTTCCCATCCACCAAACAGAGTACTTTAACCAAAGGGCCACCAATTTTAAGAGCATGAAGGACATTATTCCAAAAAGAATAAGAAAGAATAATGCGTGCATCATCTTTCCCCGCACTTTCCTTTGCAAATTTCCTCTTGCTCCATTCCTCTGAAGTGAACAACTTTCTTAAATTGGATTTTTGCAAGTGGATACTATGCAAAGTCAAGAAAGCAGTGGCGAACCTTGTCTTGCCCGGTTTCACCAAATTATTTTGTCTGGTGAATCTTCTCATCATATTCAATAACAAGGGCCGCTGAGAAATATAAGAATGTATCCTAACGCCCTGGCCAAAAACTGTAGAGAAGGGTTTTTCCTTGAAAATGTCTCTGAATATTAAGTTGATACAATGAGCCGCACATGGAGTCCAATAGACATTCTTGTACGCTCCTTCCACTATGCCACCCGCTTTCACATTTTTACTCGCATTATCAGTGACCACTTGAACAATTTTGCTTGGGCCAATCTTTTCAATGGTGTTCTGAAACAAGGTGAACATTTTGATGTGGTCAGTGGAAAGGTTGATCCAACCACCAACAGAGTTTTGATGTTATATAAAATTTTCAATGGTGTTATAAAATTTTCAATGGTGATCCAACCACCAATGCGTCTTCTTCTTGCTTACGCAGATATATAACATCAAAATGTTATATATATATAACATATATATATAATAATTAATTTTATATACTAAAATATACATTAACAAAATCAAATAAACTAAAATATAACATATACTGAAATATACATTAAAAAAATCAAATAAACTGAAAAATATAACATATATAAATAATAATAATTTTATATACTGAAATATACATTAAAAAATCAAATAAACTAAAATATAACATATATATATAATAATTAATTTTCTAAAATGAAATACATATAAAATTAATCAAATAAACTGAAAATATAACATATATATAATAATTAATTTTATATACTGAAATATACATTAAAAAATCAAATAAACTGAAAAATATAACATATATAAATAATAATTAATTTTATATACTGAAATATACATTAAAAAAATCAAATAAACTGAAAAATATAACATATATAAATAATAATAATTTTATATACTGAAATATACATTAAAAAATCAAATAAACTAAAATATAACATATATATATAATAATTAATTTTCTAAAATGAAATACATATAAAATTAATCAAATAAACTGAAAATATAACATATATATAATAATTAATTTTATATACTGAAATATACATTAAAAAATCAAATAAACTGAAAAATATAACATATATAAATAATAATTAATTTTATATACTGAAATATACATTAAAAAAATCAAATAAACTGAAAAATATAACATATATAGATAATAATTAATTTTATAAACTAAAATACATATTAAAATTAATAAATAAGAAGAATAAAAGGGGGGAAAAACAGAATCTGGACGGGTTAGAGATAAAAGGAAGAAGAAGAAGACGCTGAAGTCTGAACAGTCAACAGTGTGCAAACTGGATTGTCAGAGATAAACGAAGAAGAAGAAGAAGGAAGAAAGAAGGAAAAAGAAAGAAAGAAAAAGCAGAATCTGGACGGGAACAAGAAGAAGAAATAAAGAAGAAAGAAATAAAAGAGAAGAAGAAAGGAGAAGAAGAAAATTTCCTGGACTGGTCAGCAATGTCGATGAAGTTGAACCCTAGCTTTGGTCGACGTCGATCGAAGAAGAAAGAAGAAGAAATGGTCAGTTTTTGTCGATTTAGGGTCTGTTTTGTATAATAAAAAAACAGACCCAAAGTTTTTTTTTTTTAAAAGGGCCCTTTGCGCTTTTTTAACAGAAGCGATCGCTTCTTCGCTTTCCTCGCTTCGTCGCTTCCTACATTGAAGCGTGCGCTTCCCTCGGTCGAGTCGCCTCAGGCAGCTAGAAGCGACACTGGGTCGCGTCGCGTCGCTTCGCACTTAAAGCGACGAAGCGATCGCTTTTCTAAACACTGAGCCTGGATGTAGTTTATCTGAAAGTTAATTGACGGTGGTTGGTATGTGGCTTCATTATCCATTTAAAAGAAACAATGAAGGAGAAATGTTCATGCTTGACAAAGGTGTTCGAAAAAATTGTGCTCTTTTCTTGGGCTTACTTTCCACCGTTCAAACAAGGATGTCATCTGAAATATATGAACACTCAATATGAGTTTTATTTCTGGTGGACCTTAGGCTCTTTGCAAATGCAGAACTAGATTGTTTTCTTTTCCTTTTCTTTCTTTTTACAGTTCTGTTAAGTGATGCCATACCTAGTCTTGTTTGATTTTCTGCTCGTTTTGCCTAGGTTTTATGATATTGTCAGTTCACTTTTACTATTAGCTGTATTACCATATTTCTGTATTGCCATCCGTTGGTTTGCTGAGGTTGCTTGGTTATTCAGGTCATGAAATGGGCAAATTTGTATGAAACTACTCTCCGTGTGGTTGAAGATATCCGATTTGTTATGAGCCATTCTGCTGTACCCAGATATGTGACTAGTGATCGAAGAGATATATTGAGAACATGGATGAAACTACTGGCTTTTGTGCAAGGAATGAACCCACAAAAAAGAGAAACTGGTGTTCATGTAGAAGAAGAGGATGAGAATATGCATTTGCCTTTTGTTTTGGGTCATTCTATTGCAAATATTCATTCTCTTTTGGCGGGTGGTGCTTTCTCTATGAGTAGTGCAGAAGATGCTGATGATACTTTCTCCAATACACACACAGAAGATTTTGAGGACCAAGATAGCCAAAGACATGCAAAAGTGGGAAGGCTATCACAGGAAAGTTCTGTATGCAGTATGACTGGAAGGAGTCCACTAGAACATGCATCCAGGGCTCTTGAAGTAAAATCTGATAGTTTTCCTGTATCATCATCTGTTTTATGTTTAATATTCGAGTGCATAAAGGCCATTGAAAATTGGCTGGTAGTCGATAACTCTTTGGGGCCTCTCCTTCAGATATTATGTCCAAAAACAAGTTCTATTCCTGGCAATAATTTCTCTGTGTTTAAAAAGACACTTTCAAAATTTAGAAGAGGCAGAGAAATCCTTAAGTCACAGAATCCTCCTTCAAATGGCGTTAGACTCTCGACTTCTGCTGAAGGTTCTAATAAAGAATATTCTTATCCTTCCCGGAATGGTGGCACTACCTTGGATTCTGGCCAAAGTTCCGGCCGAGAAGCAGCTTGCCTTGGTGGTCATGATGCCAGTATGCTGGAAGGAGATCATGCATCTGAATTAGAAGCTCTCCGGTTGCTGAGTTTGTCTGATTGGCCTGATATAGTATATAAAGTTAGTTTGCAGGATATATCTGTTCACATTCCATTGCACCGATTACTTTCGATGGTTTTACTGAAGGCACTAGGAAAATGTTATGGGGAGACTGCACAACCAGGTTCTATTTCTGCTAATTTGTCATCTTCTATCCCTTGTGACTTTTTTGGACATATTCTGGGAGGCTACCACCCACATGGGTTTTCTGCCTTCATTATGGAACACACTCTTCGGATTAGGGTGTTTTGTGCTCAGGTTCATGCTGGAATGTGGCGTAAGAATGGTGATGCGGCCATATTATCCTGTGAGTGGTATCGCTCTGTTCGCTGGTACGTAAATGGTTCAATATGCAATCTTTATACATGGCCCTACAATGTAGAATAAGGAATTTCTTTTGTTATGCTAATATATATGAGATTTAATCTTTAAAGATTCCTCAGATAGTATTTAACCATTCTTCTTCTGAACTTTTTGTGTAGGTCTGAGCAGGGTCTGGAACTTGACCTCTTTCTGCTTCAATGCTGTGCTGCACTAGCCCCTGCTGATCTATTTATTAATAGAATCTTAGCACGTTTTGAGCTATCAAATTACCTATCCTTCAATCTTGAACGCCCTAGTGAGTATGTCTCACATTTCCTTTTCTTTCCTAGACGACTTCCATTTTACATCCACTATGTGTTTGCTTCAGCGGATTAAATATATAGCACTCTTTTCTTTAATTAATACATCTTAACTGTATGCTATATACTCTTTCACTGGGGGGTGGGGGTGGTAAGGTACCCCATATGCTATTTTATAGTTGAACCTACTCAACTCTTTCACTGTGAGTACTTTACAAAGGTTTCTAAAAATAATGCCTATAGTGATCATTATACATGTCGGGAAACAAATGTATAGGGATGTGTCTGACATCTATGAATAGTGTCATCCTTGCATTCACTTGACTTTGACGAGTCAATCAGAAAAAGAAACCCCTTTTAAGATCGTTTGCTGCAGGATTTTTGGTTGCTTATTAGAGAAGAACTGGAGTTTGAGTTTGTATAGGGGTTCTTAGTTGCTATATACTCTTTGAGCTGATTGATGGTCCCTTCATTGAGGCTATTGCTGGACATAGATTGGCTAATATTCTTATGGTTAACTAGACTTGAATATTTGATTCACATGAGATCTGCACTGTATGTTTTTGCTTGATAGTGTATCTTGTTGTATATGTTCTGTATTGATAACGTGTGATGCTTTGGGATCTCACAAGTACTTTTTCCATACATCTAATACTTGCTCTATCTAATACCATTTGCCATTCTTTTTAGGTATGAACCGGCTTTAGTTCAAGAGATGCTTACTCTAATTATTCAAATAGTGAAAGAGCGACGGTTTTGTGGGCTAACCTCGAGTGGGTGTTTGCAAAGAGAGTTGGTGTATAGACTATCAATTGGTGATGCCACTCATAGTCAGTTGGTGAAGTCTCTTCCTCGTGATCTCTCCAAGATTGATAAATTTCAGGAAGTTTTGGACAGAATAGCAATGTATTCAAATCCCTCTGGCATGAATCAGGTTTATGCCTAACATTTTGTTTATTCTTTAATCCTTGTACATTTCCAAAGGAAATCAATCTGATCATTTTGTTATCCTGTGATGTCCACTAATTCCTTATCTATCACAGGGTATGTACAAACTGCGGTTACCCTATTGGAAGGAACTGGATCTGTACCATCCTCGTTGGAATTCAAGGGACTTGCAAGTAGCCGAAGAAAGATATATGCGTTTCTGTAATGCATCAGCATTGACCACTCAGCTTCCAGGATGGAGCATGATTTATCAACCTCTTAGTCGAATAGCTGAAGTAGCTACCTGTAGGACGATCCTCCAAATTATCCGCACAGTTGTATCTTATGCTGCTTTTTCTGATAAATCAAATGCTTCACGTGCTCCAGATGGTGTTCTGTTAACATCACTGCATTTGCTATCACTAGCATTGGATATTTGTTATGCACATAGGGAATCTGGTGAACATTCTTGCTGTGAGGGTGATGTTGTTCCTATTTTAGCACTAGCTTGTGAAAAAATATCAGTGGGTAGATTTGGTGAACAGAGCTTGCTGTCTCTACTCGTTTTCTTAATGAGGAAACATAAGAAAGGAAACGACTTTGTGGAAGCTGGAATGTTTAATCTGTCATCTTTGATTGAAAGTCTCCTGAAGAAATTTGCTGAACTACAACCCGAATGCATGGACAAACTGCAAGACCTTGCTCCGGAAGTGGTCAATCAATTATCTCGATCCTTTCCAAGTGATGATACTAATAGCTTCAGATCATTTTCAGACAGTGATAAGCGTAAGGCTAAAGCTCGAGAGAGACAAGCTGCTATACTGGTGAGATTACACAAGAGAAAGTTAATGATATGTTGTTCAATAATTTGCTAAATATGGCCTGTTCAAAAAATAATTTGGTAGATATGGATAGTCTGTTTTCAGCTCTCTAGGCAATTAGCGGCAAGTTGTTGATTTTGCTGCTCTGTTGTGTCGACTGTTTGCTATGTAGGTCAAGACTTGAGAATTGGAAATTCCTTCTTTGGCATACGGGGGAGGGATAGCCTAATGGTAAAGACCCATATCCAACCATAAGGTTTGGGGTTCGAGTCACATGCAACTGTTGGACTTCTAGGTAGGGAGTTTTGGGGTAGTGGACGGTACCAAATAAAAAAAATAATTATCCTTATCTGGTATATAGGTTTTGGTAATCTCCACATTAAATTCTACATGCTTGGTCAAAGCAATCTGCATTTTTGTCTAATAGCATTATTTTAAAAAAAATACATGTTTGGTATAAAAATCTTTATGTACCAGATAGGGATAATGTTAGTGGAATGAAAACAATAGGGTAAACTACAATAACATCCCTCTAGTTACAATCACAAAAATACATTCTCTATTGTCTAATTGATGAGACGCTGGGTGGCGTTAATGAGAGGCTGGAGGTCCGGAGACATACTCTGGAGTCTAAGGGTTTCAAGTTGAGCAGGGCCAAGACAGAATACTTGGAGTGCAAGTTCAACGGTGTTACCCAGGAGGCGGACGGGGATGTGAGGCTCAATACGCAAGTCATTCCCAGGAGAGAGTTTCAAATATCTGGGGTCTATAATTCAGAAGGATGGGGAGATAGATGAGGATGTCACACACCGTATTGGAGCAGGGTGGATGAAGTGGAGGCTCGCTTCCGGTGTCTTGTGTGATAAGAGTGTGCCGTTGAAACTTAAGGGTAAGTTCTACAAGGTAGTGGTTAGACCGACTATGTTGTATGGCGCAGAGTGTTGGCCAGTCAAAAACTCCCATGTCCAGCAGATGAAAGTAGCACAAATGAGAATGTTGAGATGGATGTGTGGGCATACTAGGTTGGATAAAATTAGGAATAAAGTTATTCGAGACAAGGCGAGAGTGGACCCTGTGGAGGCAAAGATCCGTGAGGCGAGGTTGAGATGGTTCGGGCATGTTAAGAGGAGAAGCACAGATGCCCCAGTCAGGAGATGTGAGAGGTTGGCCTTGGGAGGTGAGAGGAGGGGTAGAGGTAGGCCAAAGAAGTCTTGGGGAGAAGTGATCAGGCGGGACATGGCGCAGCTTGAGCTAACCGAGGACATGACCCTAGATAGAAGGGTGTGGAGGTTGAAGATTAGGGTAGAAGGTTAGTAGGTAGTCGTGCGTTTCCCTTTGTCTTCTCTAGTTCGGTAGTATTAGTGCTAGTCCGGTACCCTTTTTTCTTTAGTTTGCTATATTCGCATGTCTTGTTCCGTTATTACTTGTCATCGGTAATTCCGTAGTTTGCTAGTAGTACTTCGTTCATATTCTCGTTTGCTGCCTTGGATTTAGTTTTCTAAATATATTGTCGTGCTATTACTTGTTATCGGTACCTCTTTCATATTCTCTGTTGCTATCTTCGATTTAGTTTTCTAATTATTTGTCTTGCTATTACTTGCTATCAGGGCTTCTTTCACCTTTTTTAGCTGAGGGTCTATCGGAAACAGTTTCTGCCCTTCCAGGGTACGGCTAGGCTGCGTACATCCTACCCTCCCCAGACTCCACCTGTGGGATTATACTGGGTTGTTGTTGTTGATTGTCTAAAATCACAATCTTCCCCGTTAGTGATTTGTCTGGTGGAGTTAACTTTGAGTCTATTGACTACGTTATGCCTTACCTGGACTACAGGCGTATTATGTTCAGAATAATATTTATTTTTCAAGTAAAATTGTAAGCTAAAATTTCTTCAGTTGATTAGTGAAGGTATCTGTTTTCTTAACTCAGAAAAGTGTATTAACATTTTTTGTGTCAATATGTGTAATTACAATGACCAAATGAAAAATAATAGTACAACTTAGTATTAATGACAAAGCATTGCTACTTAATGTAGGTTATGCTATAATTGCTGCTACTGAGAATACGCTGCCTCGCACCTGTTCAGGGCAAGAAACCTATTCCATTCCACATGAAGTAGGAGACATAACTTTATCCTGCAATACTACAATGCATATATTCCGGAGTAGGAGGATGGTGACCTAGCAAACTCTACCTTCTTTAGTATTATCACAGCCGCATAATTTAATTAACAGAAGTTCTCCCAAACTGCACAAAACATCCTTCTAGGATTCCAAACGGGCAATTGTAATATTTTTTAGGTGAACAGGCAATTGTAATTGATTTTTTATCTGTGTCTATGACTTGTTGCTTTATACACCACGAAGGATAGCACTGGAACAATACTTTCCTTCATGATATCTTGAACAAGTCATTAGTGTTAAGTCTACCATGGAATGTTGGAGACCCAAAATTATTTATATCATGGAGGGAATTATTGTTCCAGATAAGAACCTAAGGGTGTGGCTTCGTGGTCAATGAAAGGGGAAGAGAACCATGAGTCTCAAGTTCAAGTCCCAGCGAAGGCAAAAAGCACCAAGTGATTTCTTTCCATCAGTCCAAGCCTTGTGGATAGAGTTACCTGGTATCTGTTGTTGGTGGGAGGTAGCAGGTATCTCGTGATATTAATCAAGGTGTGTGCAAGCTGGCCCGAACATCACGATTATAAAAAAAGTAGTTTCTTCCCATTTGCCTAAGTCTTGGTGGCAAGAGTTACCCTGTATCTGTGCTGGTGGGAGGTAGCAGGTACCCTGTGAAATTGTCGAAGTGTATGCGCAAGCTGGCCTGGAAACTAACATCAATTTTAATAAAAGAGAGTATTTCCGAATAAAGGAAGACAGCTGGATACCTGTTTGAACTTGCATATTACCAAATATGGTAACAAACATGTACATGTATCTCCTGTTTATTGACATGCACTGACCCCATAAAAAAGCTCCTTGGCGCTAAAAAGAATCAAGGTGTTGCAATTTAGTTTTCTCCCTAAAGTTGAAGCTAGCCTTGCTTTTCCTCTATATATATGAAACATAGAGTTAGAGAATTGCACAACATATCATAGATTTGAATGTTGTTTGTGTCATTGTCATTCTGATGCATACTTCCATTGCGCTATGTTGCCATACCATAGTAGAACTAGAGAAAACTTAATCTCTCTGTTTTTAGTTAACAGTACAGGGAGAATCTGGTTTGACTCGGTCACTTTCTCAATGTATTCCATGCCTACTGTACAGGAGAAGATGAGGGCCCAGCAATCCAAGTTTTTAGCAAGCATTGATACCACAGCAGATGCTGCTGTAGATGATTCTAAACGTGGTAAAGAGTCATGCAATTCAGATGCTAGACCTAGATCTGAAGAGGCTACTCCTGTGATTTGCTCTCTTTGCCATGACCCAAATTCTAAAAGTCCTGTATCTTACCTAATTCTTCTTCAGGTAGGTGGCCCTATTTTATGTGTTGATATCATTTTCTTCTACTTGGATATGACTGGTGATTTATCTGATTATTGAACGTTAATTTATCCTCCTGATAAAGTGAACGATACTTATTTCATCTTGATTCCTGATATAAGAAATCCAGGCTTCTCAGTTTCACCAACAGAGGTCCTCCTTCATGGGAACAAACTCGCCGCTCTGGGAAAGAGCCCATGTCTTGTGCCAAAAAACTGAAAGACATTTTATCTGAAAGGAGCAATCTCTCAAGAAGTTCAGAAATTATTTCATCGTCTTGGTTAATGCAATTAATCCAAAATGAAGTAAATGAGCTTGCTTTAGAAGGACAACCTAATGAAGTGGAGGCATTTGTGGAATATATCAAGGCAAAATTCCCCCCAATGAAGAACATTCAACCTCCTTGTGTATCAAGCATTGTAAAGAAAAAGACAGTCTCTTCCTTCGAGATGCTAGAAGAACACATGTACTCGTTGATTCGGGAAGAAATGGATGTTAACTCACGGAGCTGGGATCCTTTGAAAAATGATAAGAAGCTCTCAGCATTGGGTGGTAGTGGGCGTGCTGCGTCACTTTTGCTTGGAAGATACATTTCTGCTCTTTCAAGAGAACATAGTCCTTCTGCGTCGGTGAATAGCCACAAAGCACAACTGGAGTCAAGTATGGTGCGTCCAGCATACGATGGATTTGGTCCATCAGATTGTGACGGGGTATATCTTTCATCCTGTGGTCATGCGGTGCATCAGGGATGCCTTGACCGCTATTTATCTTCGCTAAAGGAAAGGTAATAATTTCTTAACCAAAAAAGAGGGTGGGTGCCTTGAAAGTTTTTTTTTAATTCCTTCCTTTTGTTGTTGTACTTCTGAGGCTGTCTTGTCTGATCATTGAAGTGAACTTCTTAAGCCATTATCAATCTTTGCTTTTCTTTATTTTTCTGATTTGGCGAAATTCGGTTTCTCTGTGTCACTGGGTTGTTTTCCTATCACTGATCTTGTATTTTAGTCTACTTTATTCTAGTATTTCCATCTCAAACTTAAAAAGTTTACTTTATGTTAGACTTACTATGCGGGATGTATTATTGTGCTCCGTAGTAGGACTTTTGTCCAATTCCTCAAGTTTAGAGCAGTAATTGGCTCGTAACTTTTACGCAGGTACACCAGAAGACTTGTTATTGAAGGAGGTCATATTGTAGACCCGGATCAGGTTCAAAAACTCCTTTATATTCTTCTTCTCTGCTCTCTTATGGAGTGAATTGCTAAATTATTGTCATTTATTCTGTTTTTTCAGGGGGAGTTCCTCTGTCCTGTATGCCGTGGACTTGCCAACTCAGTGCTGCCAGCATTACCTGGAGACACTAAAAGGTTGACACAGTCTGTTTCAACTGGTCCATCAGATGCTGTAGGCCCTTCAGCACTTCGTTTTCAAGAAGCTTTATTTCTCCTGCAAAGCGCAGCTGATGTTGCTGGAAGTAAAGAGATTCTACACAGTTTTCCACTTCAGCAATTTGGGCAGATGAGAATAAATCTTGAATCTGTGGTTGGGGTATTATGTGAAATGTATTTCCCAGACAAGGATAAGATTTCAGAATCTGGTAGGCTTAGTCATTCTCTGATCTTGTTTGACACACTCAAGAACTCACTTGTATCAACAGAAATTGCTGCTCGATCTGTGAAGACTTCTTTAGCTCCAAACTACAGCCTTGATGCCCTGTATAAAGAACTCAAAGCTTCAAACTGTTTTATATTAGCCTTGTTACTAGGTATTATACAAAGCACACGGACAAAGAATTCACTTACTGTCCTGTTGAGGTTAAGAGGTATTCAGTTGTTTGCAGAGTCTATATGCTCAGGCACTTCTGCAGATGAGCCTCCAGACAGTCCATCTGTTGGAGGTATGGTTCCTGCTCCATAAGTTGCTTTTTATGATTCTATTATTTGTAAAGGATAAAGCTGAGATTCTGGGAATATGGATATTGTGGTAATTGATGTCAGGGGAATCTAGAAGCAGTTTATGATTGTTGGTGTGCTTTGCAGGTAATATGCAAGTTATTTTGGAATGTTCTGAAACAGAATTACAGTACCCCGATATTCGGTTCTGGAAACGAGCTTCTGATCCAGTTCTTGCACATGATGCTTTTTCATCATTAATGTGGGTGTTATATTGCCTTCCGAGCCCATTTCTATCGTGCGAGGAATCATTCTTGTCTCTTGTTCATCTTTTCTATGTTGTCACTATCACTCAGGTTATTGCAAATTTTCTTCGTCCAATCGTTCTCTTTGTTACAGATTAGGTCTTTTGTGCTTGATTGGTGCTAAGTTATTTCTTTTTTTTTCAGATTGTAATTACCTATTGCAGAAAGCGGCAAACTAGTTTGACTGAGTCAGGAGGCAGTGATTCTCTGGTTACTGACGTCTACAGAATAATGGAGGAATATGGAGTTGCTTATAAATATTTTGATTCTAATCATATTGAAACTTGTGACATCAAAGATGCAATTCGTAGCCAGAGTTTTCCTTATTTAAGAAGATGTGCATTATTGTGGAAATTGATTCGTTCTTCTATATCAGAACCATTTAGTGACGGGAATAACGTATTAGATGGATTACCATATTCCATGGCTGAAACAATGGAATGTGGCGAAAAATTTGCAGATGAGTTCACTGAGATTGAAAAATTGGAAAAGTTATTTAAGATTCCCCAACTTGATGATGTTATTAATGATAACATAATACGTTTTGTGGTTCCAAGATGGTTGCATCGTTTCTCCAAGCAGTTTGAAGCTCACAGTCTAAAGAGTGTTTTGTATTCTACCCCTGCTGTCCCATTTAAACTGATGCTTTTGCCTCATCTTTACCAGGACCTCTTACAGAGGTTGGTATATACATGCTTACATACATGATTTGACTTGTCTAAATTATCTTTTTATAACCCTGGAATGTTCTGCTACTTTCAGGTATATTAAACAGCACTGTCCGGACTGTGGAGTTGTACAGGAGGAGCCTGCATTGTGCCTGCTGTGTGGTAAACTGTGCTCTCCGAATTGGAAGTCATGTTGCGGGTATAAATGCACTTGCAATGCATCTTTCTTTTATTCTTCTAATAGTCCTTGAAATTCTGTTTGACATTTGATTTCGTCAGGGAAAGTGGGTGCCAAACACATGCAATGGTTTGTGGGGCGGGTACTGCGGTGTTCTTATTAGTCAGAGTAAGTGTTACTTCCTTTTTGTCTTGTTTATATGTGTTGATCTTTCTGATGCAATATACCGTCTTTTAGGGCAAGTAGAATGACTTTTGATTGTCCTTTCACTACAGAAAACCACAATATTACTTCAAAAATCCGCTCGTCAGGCATCGTGGCCTTCCCCATACTTGGACGCATTTGGTGAAGAGGTAAGTCAGTGGTTTAGCTATCCTTGCATAGTGTAAAAGGACTTGGATTGCACAAGGTTAGTGTTTAGTTAACATCAATCTTTTTTTCTTCATCTACATTCTTAAGAATACGGAGGAAGGGAGAAAATAGACTGTTTCACCCGAGGAGAAAGCACTGAAAACTAAACACTAACCACTCATTTATTTCATCCAATGAAACAGTCTATTTTCTCCCTGATTAAAACATCTAGGAAGGGAGAAAATAGACTGTTTCTACCTAATAATCAGTTTTGTAAGAAAAGGTTTTATTTGTCAAAAACGGGGGAGGGGTGTATAAGAATAGTGTTAACACATGGTTGGATGTTTTAATATTGACCAAAGCTTCAAGATACAATGATGTTCAATGGTTCATTCTACCCATTGGTATTTTCCTCATACAGCTAACCGTAATTTGCTTGTAAAAGATTAGTTCCTATCCTATAGGACATGCTTGGGTACATACTTGGCTTGTTCCCTTTCTTCCCTTTCAGCTCCTTCCCCCTAGTTTATATCATTATTTCCATTCTTCATGTATTTTGTGTTCCACAATGTTTCTGGCACTAAGATCTGAAGCTTTTTAGCAGTCACATATTATGTACACGTAGGTTTCACAGTGCAAATAAAACAGTGCAAAAACATGGACATATTATTTTTAAAACTGTGTATACTTCCTCTATAAAAAGCTATTGTATTTCCCTCTTGGTGTTGTCCCAAAATGTATCCACTTTTTGATGAATGGCTTTCCTAGCTCCTGTCAATGTTCTTTACATATGATGTTACCGAAACATGGATCCACTACCTCTCTCCTTGGAGGAGCAGCCTATTCTTGCTTCCTTAGGCTCTTATCTCTTTTGACCTATCAAGATAGATAGCCTATCTATAGTATATGAATAAATGTATAAGTTCATCAACAAGCTGTCTTTATCTCCACTTCTATTCACTATTTCCACTTAGAAACCCTCTATGTTTGTATACGATAAAATTTTGGACTGTTGCCTTGTCAAATTTGCGCAGCTTATTTGGGAAGAAAAGATTGATCTTTGATATATAAAATGTGGCTTACTCTTTCTTCATTCGGGTTTCTGTGGTTCAGTAATAGATGTACTGCAAATAATTGGACTGTTGCTTAGTAGTCATATTAAGATTCAGCTCATCTATTTAGACGTCAATTTTGCAAATCATAGACCAAATGCCAGATGTAAAATAGAATTGTTGAAAGGAAAAACGGAAGTTCGCAAATAAATAAACATCTGAAATTTCTCTTGAAGGGCCAAAGCTTGTAAATACAGTATTAGTCTTTCAGAAAAATTCCTTGGGAATTACAGAGTCTGACAGGACTAGGTGCATGCTGAATGTTACGCGGCGCCTTCCTGAAGTTCCTTGGAAGGGCGACGTAAGGCTAGGCAACCGATGTCAGTACGGTTGCTGTCCGCCAACTGAGGTCCCCTCCGTACTCTAGACTAGATTGTCAGTGCCGTACGGGAAAACCAATGTCATGAGCAATTGAAAGAGAGCAGAAAAGAGAATTGAGAATGAAAGAAAGCTTGATTGCATTGAATGAAAGCTATTACAGAAAACAAGACGGTGTCGGGGGGGAGAGACACCAGTACAGAGAATTGTTTGCTTGCTTGAAAGTTTTGATTGCTTGGTCCCCCTTAATAATGCTTAAAAAAAATAAACCAAAGTTACATGACTAGACCTATGAAAGCTGGAAAATCAC